TCATTCAGCAAAGTGCTGTGTTGGGCCAATCAAACGAGTGCAAGCACACAATCCTGATTACTTTTTGATAATATATAAATAACATTTACTGTTTAGCTGGTGAACTTCTCTATTAAGATAAAATGACTTTCACTTTGAAAACCACTAGATGTATAACAGTGACTTGTTATACTAGATCAGAATGCTAATAATATAATAAACCACTGTGCAGTATTTCGCTGTCTGCACAATCTACAAACGCATTAATCCACTAACCAAGCCTCTGCATTGTTTTTTAACCCAGGGCTGTTTTTAGGCTGAACGCCTACTTATGCATGCAGCCCGGGTGGGGAGTTTGTAGCTTGGAATGCTGGCTTACTATAGATATTTATTTTGTATGTAAACTAAAGCAAGCTCAGCACCCTCAGGCAGAGAACACACATATTAAGAGCGTCATAAATAAGGCTAGCCTTTTTTTGGGTGGGGTGCTGAACATAAGCTCTGTGGCATTGCAGTAATTGTGCCAACATGCTCTAGTGGTAGGGTGTCAAACTCAATTTCATCACGGGCCACATCAGCATTATAGTTGCACTCAAAGGGCCGGTTGTAACTTTAAGACTATACAAAAATACATATATAAATATTGAATATATATAAAATAATGTATTACAGTATATTACATTATTGCCTCTGCATTGGATTATTATCAGATAGGGTAATAACTTCATAATTAACTACGTCTGAAAGCAGAAGTCTAGGGCAAATAATTGCAAGTCTCTTCAGTAAGAATGTCACAATATGATTTTAAAAGAAAAGCCACATTCTGGAAAAAGAAGTGACATTTTGAAAAAGAGAAGTGACATTTTGAAAAAAAAGTAATTTTTGAGAAAAAGTCTACCGTAATTTTCGGACTATAAGGCGCACCTGAATATAAGCCGCAGCAGCTAAATTGAATGATGTGTACATATATAAGCCGCACTGGACTAAGCCGCAGGTGTTTTAATGTTTAATTACCATATGTAAGGGTTCGTGCACAGAGGGGATTGTCGGGAAAGAGATGGCTGTTTGAGGAAGCTCCCATTTATTAACATTTCAACAAACAAGTTGCATATTTGCATAACGTATTCAAGTGTTACCATTTAGTGCAATAGTAGCTACAGAACATGTACTGTGCTGTGTAAACTGTACTGTATCACATAGCGTTTCAGACACACAAACTTTTCAACTTTCAAACTTAAACGGTGCGCTCCCAGTGCACGTACCGGCAGTGATCTACAGCAGTGGTTTTCAACCAGTGGTACGGGGACCACCAAGCGCGTAAGCCTAAAGTTGCAGTAACACGGCTGCTTAAAATATACGGTAATCAGCCTACCAGAAAAGTCATTAATCCTTGTCTTCATCTTTTAGGCTAAGGTGCAGTACACGGCTGTAACCAGAAAAGTCAAGTCATTAATCCTCATCTTCGTCTTCTTCCTGCGTACTAAAACCTCATCTTCAGTGTCGGAAACGAACAGGCTCAGGGTGGCTTCGTCAGCCACTCTCCTCTCTCCTTCGTTGTCGCTCTCAAAACCAACGAACTCCTCTTCGTCACTGTCGGAATCGAACAGCCTCTGAAGGGCCTCAGCTGTGGCGGCGTCCTCCTCTTCATCACGCAGCAGTCCAGCCTTTCGGAACCCGTTGGTGATCGTGGATGTTTTGACACTCCTCCACGCTGTCAGGATCCACTCGCAAACTTGAGCGAAAGTTGCTTTTCGCATGCGACCAGTTTTGGTGAATGATTTATCGCCGCTAGTCATCCACGCCTCCCACTGAACGCGTAGTGCCACTTTGAACGCACGATTGACACTGATGTCGAGTGGCTGCAGATGCTTCGTTGTGCCCCCAGGAATCACAGCTGGAATTGAGTTTGTGCTCTTGATGGCTGCTTTCACAGAATCTGTTATATGGGCCCTCATGCTGTCCAAAACAAGCAAAGCTTTTTTTTGGCGAAAGAATCCATAGATTAGCCGCACCGTTATATAAGCCGCAGGGTCGAAAAATGGGAAAAAAGTCGCGGCTTATAGTCCAAAAATTACGGTAATTCTAAAAAAAACTGCATATTTTGACAAAGAAAGTCAAATTCTGAGAAAAAATGCATATGTTGAAGAAAAAAAGTCAAATTCTGAGAAAAAGTCAAATTTGAGATGCATTGTGGGACATGTCGTTTATCGGCAACGTGCTTCTGTAAAGTAGCATGTAACCGTATAAACATATTATATTCTTTGCAAGCTCTTGTGGGGCCACATAAAATGAAGTCGCGGGCCAGATTTGGCCCCCGGGCCTTGAGTTTGACACCCCTGCTCTAGTGGCTTCATGTTTTGACAAGTAATTGTAAATTAAAGTAGACATACTTTACTTGCTTACTTACTTATGACATGAATTCAAACTGACGGCCTACAACATAGAAACTCCCTCTGGAGCGACCTTGGTGATTTTGCCCTCTACAGACCATTTACATGCACAGAAACCTATATAACACACAACAGGAAAAGGAAAACCCCGAAAAGATAAATAGGGCCTCTTTAATAATACAGCAGCATTTGTAAACAGGTCACAGTGGAACATAACACAATCTGAAAAGGTAAATAAAAACAGAAATGGCATGGGGCACATATCTTTGAATGAATGCCTCACATATTAACACACAACACAAGTTGTTATTTCTGCTTCGCTGTGCGTCTGCTCCTAAGAGTTTGGTCCCTCCGAGAATGAGTTGAGGCACAACCCTTTACAGTCTGTTTCCATGGAAACGCCCACCCATTGTCTTTGCAAAGAGGGGTTAAAGTGCTTTTTCTTTCATGCATATTTCTTTAATTGAATAAATGTAATTTGTAGCGAAAATGGGTCATTGAGAAGTAGAAAGACAGCTTTTAGTCTGTTTTAATTTGAATTGTAAAATTATAAATGACTCTTTGACCTCCTCTAAGTGTTAACCTCTTAAGCACGGCGGTCCCCCCATTGGAATCTCAGCTAACTGAAGATATGAACCATTTTTACCAAAACAAAACACAAGTCTCATAAGAAGCGTCTAAATGACCCCTGAGCGAAAAAATTCTAACGCACTGCGGCACACAATTCAAGATAAAGATACCCTTATTACTTATCGTAGCTGCACATACAATATAGCCTATTAAAGCTGAGACTCCACTGATTATTTAGGTATAGTATCATCACTGAGCGATCCGAACTTGCGACAGGGGAAGCAAACACAGACATCACAACACGTATCTTTACGGAGCTTTTACGGCAGATCGTCTCACCGTAGCTGTCAATTAGGTCAAAAGACGTGTTCAATGGCATTAAAACGAAAAAAAAAAAATCTACAACTGTTGATCCATAGGTTGATAATGTACCTGTGCCTTTTAAAAAATTATTTATAATCCATAATTCCATTTTTTATGTAAAAATCGGAGCGGAAAAGTTAGCTGCTAATGGTAGCCACCAGAGTGTATGCAGCTTCCGGTTTTGGTAACGCGTCACTCTCACTCCTTATTTGTTAACGTGTTGGTGTGTATATAACTTTCCCTCGATTCCATTGGCTCTAGCGGTTATAAAGAGATTTCATTCATCAAAATCGAGCAAGGGGGACCAGAGATAGGTCAAATCCACCCAAATGACCCCAGAAGTGGGTTTTTTGGCTAAATCTCTCTAAAAAGGTCAAATTTCACTTGTTTTGCATCAATCTTGATACAGGGTACTTATTATATGTTGTACTTTGGATTCCTAAAACTTTTAGTCTACTAACCCATCATCCAAGGGTAGTTTTCACGATAAGTAAAAAATAATTTTTGGACGGACACTATAATTTACAGTTTTTTACTATGTAAAATCTGAATTTTCTTTAAAATAAAAAACATCTATATTGATTCTGACTTTTTTACATCCAACTCACAGGTTTATCATTACTTTGAGAATAAAGATTATTAATTTAACCCTTTTAGAAGGGAAGATATGGTCATTTGTTCTGGGAATGTCATTTTCGAGCCTGAGACCTGAAAAACAGGCTATGGGTTTAAGAGGTTAAGAGAAAACAAAGAGAAGCTATTCAACACATTTTCCCTTTTTCATCTTTAACATAATTTGGTCATAGTTGTGTTTGATTAAAAAACTGTAAAAACAATGTAACCCTGATCACCAAATAAAATGATAGGGCAAATAGCTTTCCATTTAAAAGTCTCTCTTTGTTTTGTATTTGTAATTACATGGATTTATGCAAGTGTCAACATAAAACAAACATAAATGGGATAAACAAAACAAGATATTTTTGTATTTGTATTGTTTCAAAGTAATACAAGTGCTAAATTGGTCTTTAATAATAGTTGAACATATTTTTTGTGGAACTATTGATTTACTTTATAATATATATTTAAACAAATACATAATAACCTTAGCAACAAAGCAGCAGACAGCTTGTTGTTCAACAATAAGTACATCAAATACACTCTCATTTTACTCACACATATTGATTGCACTAGAATAAATGTCAGTATTGTACTAGTGTGTCTGTAATAAGTGCACTGAAATAAATACATTACATTACACGATGATAACAGTGATTATTGCTCTAACAATAATCTCATTATTGCTCAAGATTAATTGGTTTAATTGAACGTAAGAATGCAATTATTGTACTAAAATAAATGCAATTATTATATTACTATAAAAGCAATTATTGCACCAGAATTAATGAAATGATTGCACTGGAACAAATGTAACTATTATAATTAAATAAAGGTCATAATTGAACTAGTATGAATGTAATTATTACACAATAATACATCCTAGATCAAGTATGAGGGTTATTGTCACTGCGTATGTATGTATCTGCTGCAGCCCCATGTTGTTTATTTAGGATTATTGAGGATAAGGTCGTTGAAAGAAAAACATATGTATTAAGTTGTTCTATCTCCCTGCCAGTTCCTGTCAGAAACTGTGTGTTCATGTGTGCTAACCTGACCTGTCCTTTGTTGTGTGTGTCACAGGTTGCCCGTGTGGTTGGCCAAGAGGATGGAGGCCATGAGGGCTGTGTACCTGGCTTCCAGGTCAAACACTACCAGGTGGCGTACAGCGGAGCTTTCCAGAAGGGCCAGGCGCTCATACAAGGTCAGTGACAACTCACACAACCGAATATGAAGGGAGCTCAACTTTTTGCTCCTCTTTTAACTTTAAAGTTTGCTCTGTTGCACCCACTCGCTATCTTAAATTCTGGCATTCCACAACACAAATATGCAAGTGGGTGTGCAGACACACAAACTCATATAAACCCTCAGTCTGCCTGCCTGGCTCCTGAGGATTTGAATGGCAGCAGACGCAGTGGAGCTGAGAGGAGGAAAAGCCAAGCTCCCTGCAGGTCAAAGCATTGTGTGTGTGTGTGTGTGTGTGTGTGTGTGTGTGTGTGTGTGTGTGTGTGTGTGTGTGGTGTGTGTGTGTGTGTGTGTGTGTGTGTGTGTGTGTGTGTGTGTTCGTGTGTGTGTGTGTGTGTGTGTGTGTGTGTGTGTGTGTGTGTTCGTGTGTGTGTGTGTTCGTGTGTGTGTGTGTGTGTGTGTGTGTGTGTGTGTGTGTGTGTGTGTGTGTGTGTGTGTGTGTGTGTGTGTGTGTAGGTTGTTTTGTTATTCCCATCCATTATAATTCATGTTAGTCCTTGTTACAAACAGGATATAGAACTGGGTGAGCACAACAAAGACAACAAGAAGCTAATTTGTGTCTGCAAATGAATTATTCCCCTTGATTGGATGATATTTACAAAATAATATTTTCTCTTCTTTTGTTTCTTACTTGATGACTGCTTTGGGCTGCTCAGCTCAGCGAACGAGTGTGTAGTTTGTTTAAAATGCATGTGTGTCTGCCTTGCGACTTTCTTTTTCCTGGAGCTTCTTTTTTTAATAAATTTTTTTAGTAAATGTATTGAACATGTCAGAAACAAAACATACAACAATAGTAATAATATATATATATTCTTTCTTTTTTTTTCTCACTCATAATAATAATTATAACAAAGTACAAACAAATAATAATACCAAAAAAAGTTCTCATTCCCGGTACACCAGCTACCATGTTCCAGTCGACTTCCGGAGAACTCTCTAAAGCCTCGGTTGTATTTTTATTCTCCATGCTGAAATGTGTTTTATTTCAGCAGGTTTATAATCAAAACATTGAAGAGAAAGTTGAGGGGAAGGTCAAAAGGGTTCACTTCCGATCAGACAGTAGTGCGGAGGCTCAGTTTCATCTCGGCGCCCGTGGGGAGGCAGCCCGTCCCCCTTTTGTTACCACAGAGGTCCGGTTATATTCCCCGCAGACTCCCGCATTCGGGAAACTGCAATGTCCAATCTCAACTCTGTATTGCTGCCACAACTTATCCAGCCTGCTCCTCTGGGACCCTCCGGCAATACCTATCAGCACGGCTGTACTCTGTCTGCACAGAGATCAGCAGTAATGTTTGCTGGCTAGCAGGCTGCCCCCCCCCTGGGGTTGTGAGTTATGGCTGCAGACACGTCCACAAGGTGCAGTCAGCTTACGGCCGTTTTACTAGAAAGACGTGGAACTCTTTCACTAATTCATTTGCTCAATATTTAATTTGCTTTGTTGTTGTTTTCTATGATGAAATACCATGGAAATAATGTAAATTGAATTTGGAATAATTTGTAGTTTGTTAATGCAGTCTATCATTCATGGCGGAGCTTGTTTCCTTTCCCCTCTCATTATTCAGCCACTTCTTTATTTATTTCATCATCCCTCTGTAATGCTCTTATAGAATGTCATTACCTGCTTCTGTGACATGCACGTAATGGGCTGTATCTTTATACACATGAGTTTACTTCTTTTATGGCTCGAGTACTATGCAGTGCTTGCAGAGCTGTTCTTATTCAGTAGATGTTTTTATGTGGCACTTCACTGACAGACAGCTTTTCCAACTGAAAATACATAATTTCCTACCTCGACGGGAAAAACCTGACAAATCGGAGAACTTTCTCTCCCAATCTACTTTTTCGGCTTACTTGTGTTTGATTCGGTCAGCCACCGAGGCATTTTGTCATCTGGGGGTTCAGTGGCGCGTGTGGAAAGAGACATAAGTCAGTTCTGCTTTAGCGCTCGGCTCCGGGACGACAGAGTGGTTTTATTACCTTGAATATGCTCCTGTCAGCAGAAACACCCCTCACCATGGGGGTCCCAGTGCTCACGAGTTATAGACAGGAGCAACGGCATATCAACGCTCACACACATACAGTACACACATTAATGTATGTGCATGCTTAGCATGGATTTCCAGTAGACGAACAGATGAAAGCTTACATAGTATACTGTGCTGTGTAGCTTCACAACAGAAACGCTATATGGTTTTTGATCAGTTTAGGTGTCTTAAAAATGCAAAGCACTAACACAAACAGTTATTATAGCTCAACAGCATGTCCAAAAACAAAAAGGCCAACAGCATATCAAAACAAACTACAAAGGAGACAAATAAGGCAGCACTCAACTTGAAATATGTCATTATCTATGATTTTGTCACTGACTTCTCTACAACACTTAAATGGATCGATCTATTGCGAGTGCTTCGTAACAATGATCAAAGTGAAATAACAGTAAGTGTCTGTAGCTTTCTTGAGAAGACATTTACTATGACAAATAACTCACCAAGATGTATGGATTTTCCGAGCGTTGATACCATTCTCCCTTCTGTTTTGTTCAATTTGAACAAATTGTCTGCTGAGTGTGAGCGTGATTCATACGGAGTGCCAGAGGCTGCGGCCCAATGACACATGCAGATGTATGTAAATTCTGCTCAGCCCTGTGCCACCTGCTGTAGACCTCCCTATGTAATAACCAGCGGAGGGGCGGTCTGTTAGCGAAAGATGCCTGTTGGCGCAGACACAGGTTCACGGACATCCATCTCGTCTAATGGCCACATCCGTGAAACCAACACATAACGTGTGGTGTGCTAACATTTCCTCTTTCTCTGGTGTTCCCACTCTTGGTGCTCCCCCTGCTCTGTTTGCCACTCCATCTTTTACATGTCCTTTCTCTTGTTTGGTTGGTCCTCCAATGACTCCATCCCGTCTTTAGTTTAGCTGGCCAACTTTTGACATCAACTCTTGACCTTAGACGTCTTAGAATATCAGGCATTTAAAAATATGTCGACGATGTACAGACTTCTGTTCATTGACAGATACTTATGTGTGTCATCATGTTAAATGGTGTTCCTGATCTCTTATCCTGCTAGATTGTATGATTTGAATGTAGTTTGTCAATGCTATCAGCTTTAAATGAGTACAAATAATCAAATGCACAGTTCAGGTTAACAATTCATCCACTTCTCATTTTTCCAATCAACGTGAACTTCATCACTTTCATCCAAATATCTGAATGTGATTTGAAGGATTAAACAAAAAAGGCGCTAGAATCTGTACATCTGCACTGCGAGATTGAAGTGTTACACAATTAACCTCGCATTGCCTACAGACTACAGCGCAAATTGAAAACCATTGTGAACAAAGCAGAAATTAATTTCAAAATATAAAAGGCTTAATAGAAAAGCCTTGAAATTGCTTTTTCACCAAGGCGCTAGTTTATTCAGGTGCAAGAGATGTTTGACCCCTTGGTGAGGACTGCCAATCCGGCTGAACACTGAATACAATGAAAAATGGACTCGGATAACAGTGCTCAACACAGTTTATCCTTTATTCAATAAAATGCAATGCTGCCCATTTGACACAAGGCTTTTTCTGTTTCACTGCAACAACAACACATTCCGTAGACACATTTTCTGAAAGACACACACATTTGAATGCTGGCTTCACCTACATATTACAAAAAACATGTGGCATATTTATTTTGAGTGTTCCAAATACCAAACAATGTCTCCACAGGGTTGAAACACATTAGAAGGCCAGGCGGGGGAATGACATTTACTGAAGGATAAATTAGTTTCTCAGTTCTGAAAAAGTTACTTAAATAAGTTTTTTCTCTCAGTGGGTTCTGCCTTGATGCAGAGAAATACAGCAACGACATGTATTGATTTTCAGATGGTGTTATAGCTCACCTTAGTTTTGCAAGCTGTGGTGGCAGTAAAGCTGATGCAGTCTGCTGTCATCAACCTGGCAGGCTGTCAGAAATAATGGCGGTTCATAACATCAGTGATGCTGTTACCGTGCAGAAACTGGACTTCTTCATGAACATTTATAGCCTGCAGTATGCCTTTTTTGAAGAGGCCATCATAAGAATACATTATGTTGTGTTAATTAATGGAAACCTTTGCTGGAACTACAGTTTATGGTGTAGTGGGGAAGCTATAGGGCATTCCACGCTGACAGCAAATAAAACGTGGAGAAGAAATGAGGAGAGCTACCTTATCTGTATCCTGCAGAGCGCGGCCAGGGCTCCGAGAGGCTTTTTCTACAAACACCCCCCCCCCCCCACCAAACATGATTACTCCTCAAAACAGAACCGCCTTTAGCATTCTCTATAGCATCACTCACATGCCTTAATTAAGCATTCCTTAAGATGTGAGTCTAGAAAATATACAAACGTGGAGAGGATGCTACTCTCCAGGCTTGGCATTGCTCGCAGTTAAGACTTCCACTTTATATTCGGCTGCAGTCGGTGGACGTGGAGCTCTCCTGGCTGGCACCAGGCCCAAGGCATATTAACTGCTTTGAGCCCCAAAGACCTCCTTTTTGGCACGCTTCTTGTCTCTCGCTTGTGTTGCCTCGGACTTTATCATTGAGGCAATTTAAAAGTACTTGAATTCTGATATAGCCTAGTGGTTTTAGATAAATTGGACAAATGGAACAGCTCTCTCATCTTTTTTTATTCTTGCTTCTCCGCTCTGCTCCCTAAGTTTATGTGATAAAGTTTGCCGTCCTTCCTGTTTGGAGCACACAGGGAATTTGTTGCACCACGAACACACACTATAAGAATATATTTATTTTTCATCAAATACTCCATCATGCAGCCTATCAGTTTTGGGATTTATTCGAGGCTTTAAAGGAGAGGTGTCATGGCCATTTCCACTAATCATAATTCCATTGTTGAGGTCTACTAAAATAGATTTATATTGTGCATTTTTCCAAACTCACATTGGTTTCTCATACAGCATCTCTGTAAAC